ACAACAAAGTTACTCCTTTCATTTTAATTTCAACCCAAAGTAAGTCTAAATCCATATTTTCCAGGTCATTCCGTCTTTTGAATGCTAGTGATTGTGCTATATACAAAGCAACACCGCCACCACGCATACCAGACCTGTCTTTTCTAATGATAGAGTAATAGCCTGGAATGTGCAAATGTTCGTCAGAACTGTTATTGTGGAGCCAAGTTTCAGATACCGCAAATAGATCAAAACTCTTATCCAAAATAAATCAGGAAATTTCTTCAAATTTCTCTTCGTTAGCTAAACTTCTAGCGTTTATGTGTCCAATTGATAAACATGATATTTTTGGGCCAGGATTTAATTCGATATCTCCTGCCATTATTAACAAAATTGATAAAAGGATTACAAACAATTTACATAGACCCCATCCCTGTCTCATCCAAGATTGAAATACCCTAGGTTTTATATTAAAACGGCATTTTCTATTATTAAACATACCGATAGCTGCTCTATAAACAACAATGCTAACCTCCATTAGGCATAGTATAAAACTTACCAGTCTGCACAGCTGCTCGAAAACGACTTATTATTATAATATTACACACAAGAACCACACAAGAGGAACCTAAATAACGTTCTTCCAGAACAAAGATAGATAAAGTTAGAATGTTAAGGACAAGTATTATAAATATAATAGGTAGGACTATAGGTGCGATTATAGTAATGCTAGTTTACAAGACAGTCCTCATATTGAAATAGTCATTTGTAATGGGTTTAATTAAACCAAGTTAAATTTTTCAAAATCACCCATGTGATGAATTCGAATTATTTTGTCATCTTTATTACGAACTAATACCTTACCATCCGTCGTCCAGACAGATTTAATATAAGTGTTATGTTCACGAGCGTATTTGAACAGACTGACGCTGTACTTGGTCAGGTCTTCATTTAGATAAAGCTGTGTGCCTTTCAGGTCTTTTCGTCGTTTACAAATTGCGGCCTTTGTACTGTATGATTTAAATTTGACAATTAGCGGTCTTGACCGGGTTGAGATCTTTGGGCCAAGACGATGTGCGCAATCAATTTCCTCGTTACTGATGTTTAGATGCAGCTTTTCCTCAACAAACTGAACCACCTCTTTAACGCAATCTTCACCATCGGTTTCGTCCAACCCTATAATTCGTAGGTTATATTTTCTTGAGTATTGCTCATTTTCATTCGTTTTTATCGTGACATTTGTTAACTCTGTCTCAAGCGCTTCAATTCGCTTTAGAAGAGGAAATGTGGCTTGTTGGACAGACTGTTCGATGAGAGTATTTACTGCTTCGGATAGAATCGTCTTAAAGTCAGTTGATTTGAAAAATTGGTGCAGCTCACTTTGTATAGCTTCCTTCATGTCTGCTCGAAATTCATCAGGTTGATATGTCGTTTGTCTTGTAACTGGCATTTTGATATTCTTTAATCACGAAATATTATTAATGTGCACCTTATTATAGCCACATGTACAAGTTACATAGTGGAAATTAGCTTCTAAGTATATAAATTAATTAAATTGTAGGAGCTCTACGAAACACGTCTGCACTCGCTGACAATGCACCATATTTAGCATATTAACCATAATAAATTATGGTTGCAATGGCAACTATGATGATCATTGTGATAATCTTGATCATAATTAGCATATTAATCATAATAAATGATGGTTGCCATGAATGATGGTTGCCATGGCAACCATGATCATCATTATGATGATCTTGATCATAATTAGCATATTAATCATAATAAATGATGGTTGCCATGGCAACCATGATGTTCATTATGATGATTTTGATCATAATTAGCATATCATTCATAATAAATGATGGTTGCCATGGCAACTATGATGATCATTATGATGATCTTGATCATATATAGCATATTAATCATAATAAATTATGGTTGCTATAGCAACTATGTTGATCATTATGATGATTTTGACCATATTTAGCATAATAATCATAATAAATGATCGTTGCTATTGCAACTATGATGATCATTGTGATAATCTTGATCATAATTAGCGTATTAATCATAATAAATGATGGTTGCTATGGCAACAATGATGCTCATTATGATGATTTTGATCATATTTAGCATATTATTCATAATAAATGATGGTTCCCATTGCAACTATGATGATCTTTATGATAATCTTGATCATAATTAGCATATTAATCATAAAAAATGATGGTTGCTATGGCAACTATGAGGATCATTATGATGATTTTGACCATATTTAGCATAATAATCATAATAAATGATCGTTGCTATTGCAACTAAAATGATCATTATGATTATCTTGATCATAATTAGCATATTAATTATAATAAATGATGGTTGCCATGGCAACTATGATGATCATTATGATGATTTTGATTATAATTAGTATATTAATCATAATAAATGATGGTTGATATGGAAACGATGATGCTCTTTATGATGATCTTGATCATCAATAGCATATTAATCAAAATAAATTATGGTTTCCACGGCAACCATGATGATCATTATGATGATTTTGATTATATTTAGCAGATTAGTCATAATAAATGATGGTTGCCATGGATACCCTGATGTTCATCATGATGATATGATAATAACTAGCATATTAATCATATTAAATGATGGTTGCCATAAAAACCATGATGCTCATTATAATGATTTTGACCATAATTAGCATATTAATCATAATAAATGATGGTTGCAATGGCAACCATGATGATCATTATGATGATTTTGATTATAATTAGCATATTAATCATAATAAATTATGGTTGCTATAGCAACTAAGATGATCATTATGATGATCTTGATCATAATTGGCATATTAATAATAATAAATCATCGTTGCTATGGCAACCATGATGATGATCATGATGATATTGATCATAATTAGCATACTAATCATATTAAATCATGGTTGCCATGGCAACTATGATGATCATTATGATGATCTTCATCATAATTAGCATATTATTCATAATAAATGATGGTTGCTATTGCAATAATGATGATCATTATGATGATTTTGATCTTAATTATAATATTAATCATAATAAATTATGGTTGCTATAGCAACTATGTTGATCATTATGATGATTTTGACCATATTTAGCATATTAATCATAATAAATGATGGTTGCGATGGCAACTATGATGATCATTGTGATAATCTTGATCATAATTACCATATTAATCATAAAAAATGTTGGTTGGTATGGCAACTATAATGATCATTATGATGATCTTGATCATAATTAGCATATTAATTATAATAAATGATGGTTGCCATGGCAACTATGATGATCATTATGATGATTTTGATTATAATTAGTATATTAATCATAATAAATGATGGTTGATATGGAAACGATAATGCTCTTTTTGATGATCTTGATCATCAATAGCATATTAATCAAAAAAAATTATGTTTTCCACGGCAATCATGATGATCATTATCATGATTTTGATTATATTTAGCAGATTAAACCTAATAAATGATGGTTGCAATGGATACCATGATGTTCATCATGATGATATGATAATAACTAGCATATTAATCATAATAAATGATGGTTGCCATAAAAACCCTGATGCTCATTATAATGATTTTGACCATAATTAGCATATTAATCATAATAAATTATGGTTGCCATAGCAACTATGATGATCATTATAATGATCTTGATCATAATTAGCATATTCATCATAATAAATTATTGTTTCCATGGCAACCATGATGATCATTATGATGATTTTGATTATAATTAGCATATTAATCATAATAAATGATGGTTGCTATAGCAACTAAGATGATCATTATGATGATCTTGATCATAATTAGCATATTAATCATAAAAAATGATGGTTGCCATAGCAACTATAATGATCATTATGATGAATTTGACCATATTTAGCATATAATTCATAATAAATGATGGTTGTTATGGCAACAATGATGCTCATTATGATAATTTTGATCATAATTAGCATGATAATCATAATAAATGATGGTTACTATTGCAACTATGATGATCATTATGATGATCTTGATCATAATTAGCATATTAATCATAATAAATGATGGTTGCAATTGCAACTATGATGATCATTATAATGATCTTGATCATAATTAGCATATTAATCATAATAAATGATGGTTGCCATGGCAACTATGATGATCATTATGATGATCTTAATCATAATTAGCATATTAATCATAATAAATTATGGTTGCCATGGCAGCTATGATGCTCATTATGATGATTTTGATCATATTTAACATATTATTCATAAAAAAAGATGATTTTTATGGCAATTATGATGATCATTATGATGATCTTTATCATAATTAGCATATTAATCATAATAAATTATGGTTGTCATATCTACTATGATGATCATTATGATGATCTTCATATTATTTTGCATAATATTAAAATAATAAATGATGGTTGCCATGGCAACTATGATGATCATTAGGATGACCTTGATCATAAATAGCATATTAAACATAATAAATGATAGTTGCCATGGCAACTATGATGATCAATATGATGATTTTGACCATATTTAGCATATTAATCACAATAAATGATGCTTGAAGATTACCACCGGATTAGCGTGCTTGCGTGAACACCTTGCTAATCTCGTGTTGGAATGTAAGCCAAGCACCTCGCGGTCACACTCGAAAACGTATGCGTGCTTGCTCGTTGATGTTGACAGATAAATTATCTAATAATCTAAAGTCTATTAAAAATAATTTTGTAGATTTCATATAGGGTTTCAGTTTTAAATATTTGGCGCTCAAAATGGAGAACGAGTCCTTGCTATTGCTTTATTACCAACACCAAAGAAAGCGCGCTTCTGCTAGACGCAGATCGCTTGTTAGAAGGAGAAGACGGTTGTTTCTTGCATTGCGAGGAATCAACCAAAATATAATGTATTTTCAGTACGTCCGGACCATAACACTAGCAATAATGGCTATTGCTAGAATCGTAAGTCAAATAAATCAACGCCGATTTTGGGAGATTCCAAGACCACGACTGGGTTGGTTTGAGGTGTGATATTTGGAGACGAACGTCAATCCGGCTACTGGAAGCAGCATTTTCGTATGCGCAAAGAAACATTCTTACAACTGGTAGATTTTGTGACCCCAGAAATCGCCAAGGAAACACCGTTTTTCGGGTGGCTATACCGCCCATAACGAGTCGCTATTGCGTTATGGCGACTGGCGGTTGGTTCAAGCTTTCGCGCTATAGCTGCTCATTTCGATGTTGGAAAGTCGACCTGTGTCACAATCACGAAGGAATTTTGCCAAGCGCTTAATCGCTTGTCAAGGCATTACATCAAATTTCCCGTCAGATGTGATGAAACTACGAGAGCGTTAGCGGTATTTCAAGATGATTGCAGGTTCCCGCAAGCAGTCGGAGCAATAGATGGTACCCATATTGAAATTATTGCACCGGAGGAGCCTTTCGACTATTTCGATAGACATCATCGCTATAGTGTTATATTGCAGGCAGTCGTAGGGCAAAACCTCACGTTTTTGGACACCGCAATTGGTTATCTAGGTAGCATGCATGATGCACGAGTTCTGCGCTCGAGTGATATTTTTCAGAAGGCACAGGATGGTGAGATTTTAACGGAACCACTTGCTAGAATCAACGGAGTTCAAGTTCGGCCTTTGCTGCTTGGTGATGGTGCATACCCTCTACTACCTTGGTTAATGAAGCCTTACCCTAACGGTGCTAATCTTAATCGTTCACAACGCCGATTTAACAAGACTCTCTCTTCAGCTAGATCGACCGTTGAAAGGGCATTCGGAGTCCTTAAGGCCAGATGGAGAATACTTTTGAAAAGGCTGGACAACCGGTTTGAAAACATTCCAGACGTAATATTGTCATGCTGCATATTACATAATTTTTGCCAAAAGGCTGGTGAGGAGTTTGACGACGAGGAGATTTTACGTAGAATTATTCGTGTAGACAGGGAATATTTAGAAACAAGGCGGCAAGAAAACATTGTTCATAATCCAACTGCTGAACGTATTCGCTTGTTAATCGAACAGAGTTTAACCTAAATATGTCCAAGTTATGCTACGACAATCGTAGTACCATGCGTGTAATTATATAATCTATGAATTTTGAATACAATATACAATAATATTTAATAATAATAATCTTTACGATAACTTGATATCTTTTCTAAAATTATTAGAATATAATCCATGTTCAAAATATATTGATCTTTATCAATTAAAAAATGTTTATGTTTTTTTAACAGTTCATCAAGTAGGCTATCATCTATCTTTTCATAATTTCAGCCATTTTTAAAAAAAACTCCTGATCTCTTCGTCGAGACTCCTCATCCAGCTTCCTCTGATCTGCTTCAAGCTTTATGAGAAGATCCTCGCTTCGCTTTTGAGCCTTCTCCATCATTTTCAACTGAGAGTTATGCATCTCAACTAGCTTCTCAGTCAAGTCGATCATCGCACTTGCCGTAGTGATCCGACCTTTCTTAGCTTTTTTTTGGTCTTTCTTTGGCGCTTTTCGTTTGGGCCGCGGTCCAGCATTTAGAGAACTCTCCAATTCTGAATCACTCGCATTTCGCCTGTCGTACTCTTGGTCAGATTCTTCGGAATCATTGAATGACTGGTCTTGCGAAGATGAAGACGAGTCTCCAAATATGGCTTGCCCACTCTGGATTATCCCTGGCATTGTCACAACGGCCCGAGTGCCGAGAACTTCGTCAAACGAGTCGAAGTATGGGCTGGTTTGGGGTGGCCTTCCAGTTGCTTTGTTATTTGTCTTTGCGTCTTTGTAAGCCTTTTTTAGGTTACGAAGCTTGTCCTTGCATTGTTTAGTCGTTTTTTTGCTCCCAGCCTTGTTCACTGCCTCTATAATTTTATTCCAAGCCTCAGTTGCTCTAGAACTTTCTACCTCCTCGATCCTTTCCTTCCACTCGCTTACCAGCACACTCGTTTGCGCTTCGCCCCATTTCGATGACGATTTGGCGCCATTTCTATCGGTGTTTGCTGTTGATGAAGCGCCGTTTTCGTCAATATTTGTAGAATAACTCCGTATTCTGTTCTCGTTCGAGCAGGTCGAGGGGACATCGGAACTGTTACCAGGAGCAGACAGAGATTGTACGCGTTGCGGTGGGACAAGAGCTCGAGGAAAATATCGGTAGAATGGCGGTGGTTGTGGTTGGCGCCCAAATATCCAACTGGCTTCTGGCGTCGCACGAGCAAAAGCAGAATTGCTCTCCTGCCCATCAAAAGCGTTCGGAAACAAGAACGCAGCATCGTTTCTTTCATCGAATCTGTCTGGTGTCTGCGACATCCTTTTTTTAAAATTTTTCTCATTTGACTTTGCAGTGTTTGCGCTTCTCGCGAAGATAAAGACAAAATATTTCGAAAGCACCGCGTTATGACATTTTTAAATTGCCTGTCTATTTCCCTCTTGAAACTGAAAATTTCAGTGGCTAAATTATATAATCCACTTGAGATTCACATTCTAGCACGATTCAAACATACCCTGTAGTGTGTTTGGGCCGTGCTTCGGCGCCTTTGAAATTTCAAGCAAACCGTATCAGATTTCAAGCGTGCTGCAATTTCGCGTTTTGCGCGGTCACACTACCAAGCGCGCTTGGAAGGTGACTTGTTGACAGATTCAAGTGGATTTAGTTCAAGCAAGCACGATTCTAGCGCTAGTGTGACCGCAACCTATGATGATTGTGATCATAATTAGCATATTATTTATAATAAATGATAGTTGCTATGGAAACCATGATGACCATTATAATGATCTTGATCATAATTTGCAAATTAATCATAAAAAATTACAATAGCAATAACAACCATGATGATCATTAGGATGATTTTGATCATAATTAGCATATTAATCATAATAAATGATGGTTGCCATGGTTACTATGATGATCATTATGATGAACTTGATCATAATTAGTATATTAATCATAATAAATGATGGTTGCCCTAGCCAACATGACGATCATTATGATGATTTTGACCATAAATAGTATATTTATCATAATAAATGATGGTTGCAATGGCAACTATGATGATCATTATGATGATCTTGATCATAATTAGCATATTAATCATAATTAATGATGGTTGCTATAGCAACCATGATGATCAATATGATGATCTTGATAATACTTATCATATTAATCATAATAAATGATGGTTGCCATGGCAATTATGATGCTCATTATGATTATCGTGATCATAATTAGCATATTATGATGATCTTAATTAAATTAGCATATTATTCATAATGAATGATAGTTGCCATGGAAACCATGATGTTTTTTATGATGATTTTAATCATAATTAGCATATTAATCTTAAAAAATGATGGTTGCAATGGCAACCATAATGCTCATTATCATGATTTTGATCATAATTAGCATATTAATCATAATTAATGATGGTTGCTATGGAAACTATGATAATCATTATAATGATCTTGATCATAATTAGCAATTTAATCATAAAAAATTATGGTTGCAATGGCAACTATGATGATCATTATGATGAACTTGATCATAATTAGCATATTAATCGTTATTAATGATGGTTGCCATGGCAACCATCATGCTCTTTATGATGATTTTAATCATAATTAGCATATTAATCATAATAAATGATTGTTGCCATTGCAACCATGATGCTCATTATGATGATCTTGATCATAATTAGCAAATTAATCAAAAAAAATTATGGTTTCCATGGTAACCATAATGATCATTATGATGATTTTGATCATAATTAGCATATTAATCATAATAAATGATGGTTGCCATGGTAACAATGATGATCATTATGATGATCTTGACCATAATTAGCATATTAATCATAATATATTATAGTTACCATAGCAACCATGATGCTCATTATGATGATTGTGATCATAATTAGCATATTATTTATAATAAATGATGGTTGCTATGGAAACCATGATGACCATTATAATGATCTTGATCATAATTAGCAAATTAATCATAACAAATTATGGTTGATATTGCAACCATGATGATCATTATGATGATTTTTACCATATATAGCATATTAATCATTATAAATGATGGTTGAAAGGGCAACTATGATGATCAATATGATGATTTTGTTTATGTTTAGCAGATTTATCATAATAAATGATGGTTGCCATGGATACCATGATGTTCATCATGATGATATGATAATAACTAGCATATTAATCATATTAAATGATGGTTGCTATAAAAACCATGAAACTCATTATAATGATTTTGACCATAATTAGCATATTAATCATAATAAATGATGGTTGCCATAGCAACTATGATGATCAATATAATGATCTTGATCATAATTAGCATATTAATCATAATAAATTATGGTTTCCATGGCAACCAAGATGATCATTATGATGATTTTGATCATAATTAGCATATTATTCATAATAAATGATGGTTGCCATGGCAACTATGATGATCATCATGATGATCTTGATCATAATTAGCATATTATTAAAAAAATGATGGTTGCCATAGCAACTATGATGATCATTATGATGAATTTGACCATATTTAGCATATTAATCATAATAAATGATGGTTGCCATGGCAACTATGGTGCTCATTGTGATAATTTTGATTATAATTAGCATATTAATCATAATAAATTATGGTTGATATGGCAACCATAATGCTCATTATGATAATTTTGATCATAATTAGCGTAATAATCATAATAAATGATGGTTACTATAGCAGCTATTATGATCATGATGATGATCTTGATCATAATTAGCATATTAATCATAATAAATGATGGTTGCAATTGCAACTATGATGATCAATATAATGATCTTGATCATAATTAGCATATTAATCATAATAAATGATGGTTGCCATGGCAACTATGATGATCATTATGATGATCTTAATCATAAATAGCATATTAATCATAATAAATTATGGTTGCCATAGCAGGTATGATGCTCATTATGATGATTTTGATCATAAATAACATATTATTCATAAGAAATGATGGTTGCAATGGCAATTATATTGATCATTATGATGATCTTGATCATAATTAGCATATTAATCATAATAAATGATAGTTGGAATAGCAACTATGATGATCATTATGATGATCTTGATCATAATTAGCATATTATTCATAATAAATGATGGTTGCCATGGCAACCATGATGCTCATTATGATGATTTTGATCATATTTAGCATATTAATCATCATAAATGATGGTTGCCATAGCAACAATGATGCTCATTATCCTGATTTTGATCATAACTAGCATATTAATCATAATAAATGATGGTTTCAATGGCAACTATGATGATCATTATGATGATCTTGTCCACAATTAGCATATTAATCATAATAAATGATGGTTGCCATGTTAATCATGATGCTCATTATGATGATTTTGATCATAAATAACATATTATTCATAATAAATGATGGTTGCCATGGCAACTATGATGATCATTATGATGATCTTGATCATAATTAGCATATTAATCATAATAAATGATGGTTGCCATAGCAACTATGATGATCATTATGATGATTTTGATCATAATTAGCATATTATTCATAAAAAAGATGATTATTATGGCAATTATGATGATCATTATGATGATCTTGATCATAATTAGCATATTAATCATAATAAATTATGGTTGCTATAGCTACTATGATGATCATTATGATGATCTTCATATTAATTAGCATATTATTAAAATAATAAATGATGGTTGCTATGGCAACTATGATGATCATTAGGATGACCTTGATCATAAATAGCATATTAAACATAATAAATGATAGTTGCCATGGCAACTATGATGATCAATATGATGATTTTGACCATATTTAGCATATTAATCACAAAAAATGATCGTTGCCATGGCAACTATGATGATCATTGTGATAATCTTGATCATAAGTAGCATATTAATCATAATAAATGATGGTTTCTATGGCAACCATGAGGATCATTATGATGATTGTAATCATAATTAGCATATTAATCATAAAAAATC